GACCTTGCCAGTTGTTCTGGAAAGAACAGATGAAGGGATGGGCTTTTGATTAATAGTTATTAACAGAAAAAAAGCCACCTGCAAAAGATGCATGTGAAGCTGGGAAAAATAAGCCCTTGCTCATCAATAGAGCTGCATCTGAAATTGTCTGGTTTGCTCTGGGTGCTTGTGTCCAGGAGAGACTTGTTCAGATGTGCAGAATGAAGAACTTGTGTGTGGGCTAATTGCATGAGCGCAGAGTCTCTCCAGGGAGACTGACTTACGCTAACCAAGATCCAAAGGTTAGAGGAGCACAGCCACCTTGGGCTGCCAACTTTAGTAAGAAGGAAGCAAGCTGCATTTTCAGGGTCTTGGGTTGGAAGGAGTAAACTTTCTCTTGGACTCTGAGACAAAGCCTGACACTGCATGCAAGTGTCTGTAGTATGCCTGAACACAAATGTAAGTGTCTGCATGCCACAGTGCCTGCACCATACACTGTGCAGGTACTGGTTGGGTCTGTGGTAGAGCTCGGATTTGTGTGCTGCAGTCCATAGGATAGATATTTCCTGAAGGAGTTGGTACACTTTGTCATGGAGACTGTACACAGCAAACAAATGATTTAATGAATCAGGTTTAGGAGAGATAAGTGAGATTGTAAAATCAAGTTGGGGGTATTGAGGGATTTGGAGTGGGAGGTTCAAGCTTCACTCAGAAGGTTCTTTAAGCTGCAACCATAATGTGACTTCTGTTTGACTCTGATGCTCAACATGCAACTGAACCCATAGATGAACTAAATAATTTTCTGATTGCTTCCCATTTAAAAATTTTAATTTCATTTTTTACTTCTAAACAGAGACTGATTCTGAAATCAACTATAAAACTGAAGTAATTCCTGTGCCTCATTTTTCTTGAGAGAAGCCACTGGTTGTGGTGCATCTCAGCTGAGCTTCAGGTCTCACCTCATTACACACTTCAGTTTTCCTGACACTCTCCGTTTTACTGTTTAACTGTCAATAACAACTTCTCTATTGTCTCACTGTTGTTTTGATGCTCATTTCATGATGACTCATGCTCTTTTTCTGATCTTGTTTCAGCTTACCATTTAAACTCTTCTCAGCTCTCTTTCTCTATACCTTGTCTTTCTTCTGAAGTTTCTGGAGCTCCCCCTATCCCAAACGCTGGTTTTCTTTCCTTCACTTTTATTTCTGTTGCCTCCTGTCAGTTGTGAATGCCACTGCCATTGGTTTATATGCTGTTGTCTTGCTCTGATTAGAGCCTGTAGAACAAGATTTTAGAAATATTTTCCATTCATGACACATTATTTGCTTTTTACCATTGGTGTAAATAGAAGGTTCGTTACAAAACCCAAAATATTGAGTAGGGGTCCATTTTGTATATGGTGAAACACCTGTTTTTTCATTGCTGTTAACAGTTTTGGTAGTTCTTTAAATTAAAGTTTAAAGTGGAAATGTTATCACAGAATGTCATGAAAAGTAACAATTGTCATCTTAGAATTCTGAAAAAATACACCAAAAAAAAGACAAAGGGTTTTTTTTGTGGTTTTTTTTGTTGTGTTTTTTTTCCCCATGGTGTATATTGTTTTCAAAAACAAGTCCACTATGACAAGTTTTTCTTTTCATATATCTATTTAATGGCCAGCTGAAATACTGGCAAAGAAAACTGAAGATTAAACTCAAATTATTATTGTTAGGTGCGATATTCTGCCATTCTGAAAAAAGTATCTAACTTTCAATGGGTATTATATATAGGCTGCTTGTAATTTTTTGGGAATACCTACCTACCCACATCTGTCATGTGCAAAACAATTATGCCATTTTCTGTAGTCATACTGATTAAAATAATTCAGGGTGTTGGAATGGTGTGAGGCAAGGCTCCATCTGTACAACGTGGCTTTTTTCTTGTTGCTAATTAATAGCAAAAGGCATTTCAGGAAACAGCCTGGCTCTCTCTGCCAGGGGGTTATATATATATATGTATGTGTGTGTGCGTGTGTGCGCATGTGTGTGTATGTATACATATATGCATAAGTATATGTATAGCTACGAGTTTAATGTTTCCCTTAAGACAACTTGGCAAGTGTTTTGGCTGTAAGGAGATTGAAGTTTTAGGAAAACATGCTATATTAAGGGTCAGTGGGATTTTGTTTATAGAGCTTCTGGAACATTTCATGCTTCAAAATGCAACTATTTTCTTTGCATGTTTTGCTGAAAATAACATAGATCAGATTTGAATTTGAGTCTCTGTGAATCTGATATAAAGCAGCTCCCCTAGAAAGAGTTATCCATGCATCCTGATGACACCCAGCAGCCCATAAGGCACATGTGACCACATCCCAGGTCCTTGAGGTGGGTAGCAGGGATGTAGGAATCATAGAACCATAGAATGGTTTGGGTTGGAAGGGACCTTAAGGATCATCTACTTCCAACCTCTCCTGCCATAAGCAGGGACATCTTCCACTAGACTAGTCTCAAAGACCCATCCAACCCAGCCTTGAACACTTCCAGGGAAGGAGCAGCCACAACTTGCTTGGGCAGCCTGTTCCAGTGTCTTACCACCCTCACAATGAAAAATTTCTTCCTAATGTCTAACACAAATCTCCTGTCTTTCAGCTTAAAACTGTTCCCAACTTGACCTATCACTCCATGCCCTTCTAAAATAGTCCCTCTCCAGCTTTCCTGTAGGCCCCTGTCAGGTACTGGAAGGCTGCTACAAGGTCTTCCTGGAGTCTTCTCCAGAGAACAACACCACCTGTCTCAGCCTGTCTTCATAGGATAGATGCTAGATCCCTTGGATCATCTTCATGGCCCTCCTCTGGACTCACTCCAACAGCTCCATGTCCTTTTGTTGGGGGCTCCAGAACTGGACCCAGTACTCAAGGCTTGGTCTCACCAGAGTAGAGTCGAGGGAAGAACCACCTCCCTGGCATGCTGGCCACGCTTCCCACTGTGGGCATATCTTGAGTGTGGCAACATCCTGTGCAGCAATAACTGGTGCTGTCTTGCTTCAGCTTCTGACTCCCTCAGACAACACACTGGAAAGGTGTCTTGAGATTGTGGCAGTGTTTGTCTCTCTTTCCACACAAGTTTCTCTGTTTCCACACGAGTACTTGACTCCCTTCAATGAAGGATTGCAGTGAGTTGTTTGTAAGTTAGGAAGTGAGGAGGTAAATTGTAGTGCATATGGGACATGAGGTGAGGTGCAGTGCTGCTGGTGGTGAAGTTTCTCCAAGGGAAACGGCTTGAGTGGGGAAGTTTGGTGTCTTAACAGCAGTGCAACTGTGTTTGACAATGAAGAACCAGTTTCAAGTAAACTAAATGAGAAGACAAGTTGCAATTTATTTTTTTAATTGTTTTTATTTATTTATTTATTACATTTTCTGTAAAACATAAGAGGGCCTAAGTGGTAAAAAGGGAAAACTAAACCCAAGCTCATGAGGGATTTGCATGCTCTGGCTCTGGACTCTGTTGGAGTTCACCGGAAACATTGATCGTCCTTTCTCTGTGATTGGAAACAGTAGTTTCTTTTTAAGCAAACCAGACTGGTGCTAATGGCAGCTCTTTCAGGCATTTGAATGCCAGGTCTCTTGCAGTTTTCACATGACCTTTATTTCAACAAAACTGTTCAGTTTTCTTACGTGGCTTCTAGCATGCTATTAAAGCTGGGTACTTAGAAGTCTCTGTGTTTGGATTCAAGTCTTGTTTTCCACATCAGTTGCAACTATGTTGCTTTTAAGCAAGAGGATGCCAGCAGGGAATACTGAGGAGTGCCAAATTAAATTTCCAATACATTTTGTTCTTTGTTCATGGTGAGAATTATTTCTCCCCTAAGGCTGCTGTGCTCAGCAAAATGAGATCGGGTTGCCTGAAAGCTCCCTCTAACATCAGTCTAGCTGAGCTTTTAAGGTCATCTTAGTGGCCAGCACTGTTGACACCTCCTTGGAAGGCTGATGTAGTATGAATGTCATGGGTCCTGTTTGTTGTTTTATTTAAAATAAGAATTAAAAAATGCTGGAGAAACATTCCATCAAAGCACTGTCTTGGTATCTGGCTGCCTATTAGAGAGGCTTCTCTGGGAAATGAGGAGTTGCTTATTTTTAAGCATAAATGTTTGTTGTGGCCTTGCTTTCCAATTAGCAGTGCCAAAATGAGACAAAGCAAATTGTAACAAACTAAGAGAGAAAAATGTGTGTAAGCCATTGAAGTCAGCCACCTCTGAGTTACTTTTGTTGATTGGCTAATAACTGGTGCTTCACCATCAAGCAGATGTTTTTAATACCTTTTTATATTTGAATATTTGCTTCCTGTATCCAGATTTTGGGTTGATTAGCATGCTGTGGATAGCTGCTAGCAGTGTGTGCAAATCTGTGCTCATTTTGCATTTCATGCAATTAGCTTAATTTATATTAGGAAGAGACACTAAATAGAGGAGAAGGAAAAGGTATGTCACAACATGCACGTGACAATTAAGATACTGTATCACATATTACCTATACAAGTTTTTGTGAACGAAGCTCTTTTCAGCTGTCAAGTAAGCCTTGATCCAATCTTGAACCCTTGCAAGGTGGAGAGTGTAGCATTCCCTATTTCATATGAATGGGTAAGCTGAAGCACAAAGTAAGTGTAATGTTTAGTTTTACATAGTAAATTATAACCAGAGGTCAGGGAAGAAGAGAAGAAGTTCCAGGCCCACCAGGAGCCTAGATTCTGACAGGTTTCTAGTAGGTGACCGGTAATTACCAGGCTTCCTGTGGCGAAGCTCATCCGTGACATCAGCATTGTAGATCAGGGATTTGGTGCACTGGCCAGAAAAGAATTGTTAAAAATATTTGCATTCTCTCTGGAATTAAGATAACTGGCCATTTTGCTGATGGCTAATTATCTGCTTTTGCCTTGTGGCCCTGAAGCAGAGCTTCCCAAAAATGCTGTAGCTACATTTGAGATGGGATCTCACTTTTTACGCTCTAACCAATCCTTTTTTCCTCTCTCTTGTTAATTCCCAGAATGCAACTACAACAACAGCAACGTCGAATGTTCACAGCTGCCCTCCTGGCACTTGTTTTCATTCTGGCAGCTGTGAGTACTACCGAGGCTGGCAAAAAAGAGAAACCAGGTAAGTTCCAGTGTAATTCAGAATTAATCCCTGAGTTAGGTTGCAAGTGTAGGAGGGTACCAACTGTCTCTGGTTTCATTACAAAATTCAGGTCATAAGTTAACCTTGTGACATACAGGGTAGGGATTTGTGGCTGTGACATGTTGATCTGTGTTAAACAGGAAAACAGAAAGTGGTTTCCATGAAAGCTGGCAGCTTGACAGCCCCAGAGGCTGAAGTTCTTAGATCACCACAGACTGGGTATTGCAAGGCGGCTTAAAATTTACTCTGGGAATAGGTTCCTGCTTGACTTAGGGAGAATGAAACTGAAGTGATGAAAGAGCAGTTATGTCACTTGTTCGGTGTAATGACAATGCTACACTAATGCTGTGTGATGTGGAAATCCTCTGACAAAGAATTGCACTAACTCGCTGCCGCAGATAGGCAGCTGGACATCCAGTGGTAATTGCTTTCTGTCAGTGATGAGCTCAAGCCTCATTATAGGAGAGACAGGCCTGGGGTGGAAAATTCATATCTATGAAACCCAGTTTTGCTGTTTTTAAGGAATGCATCTTTTGGTGGTTTTCTTAAGATCTTATTATTTAGAGGCTACTTACACACCAGTTAATAGGACTTGTTAGTCTGTCAGCGTTAGTGTTCCCACTAAAGAAAAAAAGAAAAGGTGTTTCTAACCAACGTGGCTTTGTGGAAATATGAGAAAATGTGAACGTAAATATACAAGAGGTAGAAGGAAAACTATTTTATATAAAGTCATTTAAAGTTATTTAGATGTGATGCATTTGGGGCCTAACTAAACATCTTTGTGAACCTTAGGTTTGATAACATTGCTGTCTGTTCTCATCAGACTTGGGTTTAAGGATTTAAATGAAATAATCATCCTTACTTTTGTCCCTAAGCAGCAAACCCACCTATATTAACAGCATTTTGAGTGTACTTTTCCATATAGTTTTTTCTTTGCCTTTGGAATTCTGATCATATTCTGACATAAACTATGGTATGGAATGCCAAGTGAAAAGTTTGTGCACTGTTCCCTGGAGGTGCTTAAATCCTCTGATACACAAGGTCAACATGTACATTTGTAATCTGTATAGTGTGTAGTCCTCTTCAGTTGGAACTGAAAACATTTGCATGCCATCGGCTACTGGAGACAGTGGAGTGCTCTTTCTAAGTGAGCCCTCCTGCATGTTTTGGTCAGTGGTCCCTGAGGGTTTCTAGCTGCTTCCCTGTTCTGAAGATGAGAATCCATTTGAGAATATCTAAGTGGACTAGTAGACATAGTAGTGGACCCGAATTTGAATTATTTGCCTGGCTTTGGAGTCAAAGAGGCTAACTGGGAAGAGGACACCAGACCTTTTGCTTTTGAAGCAATTGTTTTACTAATGCCTTCATTATTCACTCTTTCAGGTGCTATGACTATTCAGTGAAATTTAGGGACCTTCTCCATGGACTCTGGGTACTGACTGCTTCTCTTGCTTGGATTTTGTTCCTTGTCCTCATCCAGAGAAAAAGGCAAAGAAGTCTGACTGTGGCGAATGGCAGTGGAGCGTCTGTGTGCCCACCAGTGGTGACTGTGGCCTGGGAACGCGTGAGGGCACTCGCACTGGAGCTGAATGCAAACAAACCACCAAGACTCAGAAGTGTAAGATTCCCTGCAACTGGAAGAAGCAATTTGGAGGTAAGCATCACTCTCTTAAAGGTTTTTCTCTGGTTTTTACGTATTGTAAATTCCGTCTTCCAACAGCGTGCTGAAATCTGCTCTCCTGAGGTGTACAACCCTATTTAAGACAGCAATATAAATGTCATGTGTTCACTCACAGTTGCGAATCTCAGTGGTGGTTACCACAGGCTTTATGTGACCTTGTGATGTGCAGACCTTCATGATTTGCAGCATATGAAGCATGAGTGGCTACCAGTGTGAGCACCGAAAGGAGTGAATGAAGACCAGTGTATTTCATCTATATTACTCATCTCAGAAGGTTCATCTGTAACAGTTCAGAAAGATACATCAGATCTGTCCTGGACAAGATGTCTGTCCAGCAGTCAGATCCGATTACTCTTGCAAACTTGGCTTTTTCCTAGTAAACAGCTTGTATGGCTTTGATGTAATTGGGACCTTACCAAGGCAATCTGCCTTGACAAATGAATAGTTACACATAGTTCTTTAAACTATTCCATCATATTTGGTAAACTTTGACATCACACAAATGGAGGAACAAACTTATAGAATGTGAATGGTATTTCCCACTGCTGTTGTTTTGGGTTTTTTTTTTAAATATTATGTATTGTATAGTTGAATATATTTTTCTTTATATGACAATAATATAATATCCCTGTGAAAGCAAGAGGGTTCCATTGTAATATATTTTGGGGGGGCAGATGCTGCAATTATCGCTGCAAATCATCTTTAAGTTTTTCTTGGGTTTTCTTTCTTCAGTTGCATGATCCTTTTTTTCTACAAGCAATAGCTGTCCATGATATACCGTAGTAGACTCATAACATTTTTGTTTTCACACTCAATCATTCTTGTTTAAATATTGCCATTTATTTACTCATTGCAGCTGAGTGCAAATACCAGTTCCAGGCCTGGGGAGAATGTGACTTGAATACTGCCTTGAAGACTCGAACTGGGAACCTAAAGAGAGCCCTTCATAATGCTGACTGCCAGAAGACTGTCACAATCTCAAAGCCCTGTGGGAAGCTTACCAAACCCAAACCTCAAGGTAAATTCCATTTGTTGAAAGCTGAACGCTAGTTCATTTAAAACACTGATTTGTGTTGCCCTGTGTGCTTCAGTGGGAAGTCAGTAGCACAAGGGATTGTATTTTCATGGCCTTCCTTCAGTTCTGTACTGCTCCAATCTCCCAGCTGTCAGCAGACAACATTCCTGAGTTGTTTAGTCAAGGCAGTCTCACACACAAGAGGTGAGATGAAAATTAGAGCTTCAATTCGAACCTTAGACTACCTATACTGCTACTAGTTGGGTGATGCTCACGAGACCTCCAGGGTACAGATGCTCATCATAACTCATCTGTTGATGGGAACAGATCAATTATAGCATGAAAAAATCTCTCTTGATAAAGATACCTTTTATATAGCTTTTGTTTGGTATTGAATACTGACTACTTGAAAAAAAGGGCTGCTTTCCTTTGGGACAGGTAATATGGAAGGGATATTCTGCTCACTGCAAACTGAAAGAGGATATGTGGATGCTCTGCACCCCTGGGGTTGTATATCCTTTATACAAAGATAGAAGTGAATGTATATCTTACTTAAATATGAGTGACAGTGTAATTTCTAGTACACAGGAAGGCATATGACCTGCGTTTGTGTTTGCAGGTGTTCCTTAGACAAACAAGCCTTTTAATATACTATTTTGTTGAAGTAGCAGGTGTTATGTGCGTAGGATGATTTATAGTGGGAGCTAAAACTGTGAGATCTTGTTTGAGGTACAGCAGTTATGTGTTTTAAGTGAATTGTATAAGCTATGCTGTCTGGGCAACTGGTTGCTTAAAACCAGTTAGGTTTAACATGTTCCAAGCTCTGATTACTTGGATAATTATAAAAATAAATGTGATTAGGAGCAACAGGTGCAACTGAGACCAGCAATTTTTAAATTGTGGGTGGTGGTACACCACTGATCAGAGGAGCACCTGCAGGTAGCCTGCTCGTTGTGGGCAACCAGAGACATGTCTGATGAGGTTGCAGGTGCTCTGTGTGTGTGTGCATTCATTCATTTGCTTTGGGGGTGGAAGTGACTGGGTGGGAATACAGGAAGGGCTTTGAGCTGCATGATTCTATTGTTTATTAGGCTGGAGGGAAGGAATTTTTTTTTTGGGGGGGGGGAGCCTAAGTGGCATTCAGTTTATTGAATGGAGCTTCCTATTGTATTGCCAGAAGGCCTTGGCTGCTCTAGCCACTAGTAGCCCTCTGCCTTGTTCTGCTCCTGCTGGGTCCATATATTCTATCAACAGCTGTCAGAAAAGAGTAGAGGGGGACCAAGCAGAGCATTGCTGCAGCATTGTTTTGTGTGAGCAATGCTGTTGGATGGTACAGGGTCATTTTCAAGTCGTAGTTTCAAAGGGAGAGCTTGTGAAACTGCTGGATTTAACTGATTCTAGATATGAGTGAGTTATAGCTGAGAATGAAACTCAGATTGGAACTGACTGCAGCCAACATAGTTATGTGGCTTGATTTAATTAGGAAACCTGACTTAATTTGATTTGAAGGAATGCAAAGGGAGAAATAGGTACAAATGTAGGTTTGTGACCATAATAACTGTGGGCAGAAATTCCTCTCTCCTGATTTGCGTTGGAAATCTCACAGCATCTTCCTGCATGCCACCTGCTTGATCATCTGCTGTTGGCATTAGTAGGAGCAGCACGCATGGAAGTCACACACTTGAAGCCTGCCTGGGCCCTGTGCTAAAGATGATAAATCCATATTGAAGATCTGTGGGTATAACTACGTAGGAGCTACACTGGACAGTATGTTGGCAGCAGTAGGAGGAAGTTGAGTAAGAAATTAGGTCAAGCAGATAAATACTGTGTGAAATGTTTTACCCTACTGAACTTTATTTCTGAGTTAAAAATTTTAAGTGCTGACTTTTTAGCTGGAATTAGAGTATTTCTGTTTTCTTCCTGAGGTGAAGGAAATTACAGGTTGGAGGGAAGTCCCCACCCACATCTAGATAAAGGAAAAAAATAAATCTCATTTCATCTATAGTTAGAATAGGACCCAATTTAATTCTTCAGAGATGAGAAATAAGATCTAGATTATTGTCTAGGTAGTTGGGATGGACTACAGGTACATAATTACCTTCCCTTTTCACCCACAGCTGCTCTTCAATGACTTGAGACTACAAGAGAAAAAGGATATGATAAATAATTTAGAAGCAGCTTTTTTTTTTTTTTTTTTTTTCTTTTTTCTGAGGCACAGTCTTGTAAAAGTTCTGTATTGATATGCAGCTAGACATGTAAATTCTGCTTAAGAGCCTTTTGTTCCTACTGTGATTGCCTGGAGTAGCAGGGCAGTGTCACTCTGGCATTTGGGAGCTCTGGCAGCAGAATAATAAGTAAGGGGCTTATTGATTACAGGAATCTTTTCGGCCACTAAACATTTACCTTTCTGACTCGTGTGTGCTTCAAGATGAATCACTGAATTCATCTCTGATAGCTATAGGGTGGGAGACCCAAAACCAGATGTGAACTGACTGAAAATATTGCACTGAAAAATACCAGTATAATCAGAAAAAGGGTTGTTTTAATTATTTTCCTGACTAACCTCCTTTTCTGTGCTCTGCAATTTTTCTTCCATTAAGTCATGTTTGTAACCTCTACATTACATCACTTTTCCTTTTGATTTCATCTTGTAAACTGGATGAGTAAAATCCCCTATGTAGCTTCTCCAATCAGTTGTAGTCCTACAAATCCTCTGTTACTTTTTGTCACTTGCCATCTTTTAAAGCTAAAACCTCTGATTTAAGTGTTTTGTTGTATTACAATTTACCCATTACAAGAAAATTCTCTACTGGACTTACCTAAATTCATTCTATTATTGCAAAATCATTTTTGACATGAAGAGACTGGATTGTACACATTATTCCAAGCATGTCCTCTACAGATTTGTGTTGAAAAAGAGAACATAATTGTAATGTTTCCTTTGTTGTTCATTACACTCAATAAATAACCTCAATAGGTTTTTCTTTTGATCACTGCTTGCATGTGCAGTAGATATCTTTATCTTAGACCTTCACAATTCTCCCTAACTCTTACAATTTTTTAAATAAGTTAATTAATGTGGTCAGTTAGGGGCCTAAGAAGTTGTGTGAGTAAAGCAGATTATTTAATCTAAGATTGCCCAATGAAGTGTGGTGTATCAGATTTTACCTGATGTGTTTCCTGAGTGTGGCTTGGTGTCAGAAGTTTCTCTGTTCTTTGAGAAAAATACAAATAAATTGATGCTACCTGTAACTGCTGCTCTCCCCTTGTATATCCACCTTTCCAACTCATGAACATTCTGCAACTTTACTGGTAGGATGAATCCTGTATCTCTCCCACCTATTTCAAGATGACTGCTGTTTCATAGGAGTTTGAGTTGTGCTTAACAGAAAGGACAATTGTACCTGCAGAGAAATCCCAAGGGTTACATTTTGAAGATTTGCTGAGGAAAATTAATTTTTATTTTCTAGGAACTTCAATGAACTGTGGCAAAACTTTTGCTAAATTAAACCAGGAGCTACTCATTAACTTTGGGAATCAATGCCTGCCTCATAAATTGGTGATCTAAGTGTTCTTATGGATTTGTTTTATCATTAGTCAGCATGCATGGAAAAAGCCTAAATTTTTTTTTTTAAGCACTCTTGTAATCTTGGAAACTAATAAATAAATAAATAATTCTTTCCTTATTTGCAACTGATCTGTCGGAGTATTTTTCATTCAGAGTAGCTGATACTAGGTATGGATTGTAGTCTGCTATACATGGACATTTTGGACCTCACTGCTTGCTAGCGGACAGTTATTAGAGAAGCCCTGTATATATCAGATTTAATGGGGAGAGCAGATGATGAATCAGGAATTTGAATTGTATCTGGAATTCTGATGAGCTCTTTTCTCTTTAGCCTTGCTGAGGTGTTGTCAGATTGGAAGACAATAACTTGGTCCTGGGCTGCTGTGCTAAAGTGTAGCCAACACAGGATTAAAACGATTGCTTGTTCTTGAATATTGTGTATCTGGACAGAAAGGCTGTAAGCAATGTGACTGTGATATCCCAGACACCATGGTTTGTGTATTTAGTACACAAATGAGGTCATGAGAAAGCCTGTAACAAAGACTGGAAAAGATGAAAGGATAATTTAATCACAAAATCCCAGCAGAGGCAGCCACCTCTCTTCTAGCACACACAATTGCATATTCTAATCAATGTCTGCAAAGCTGGGGATGTTCAAGGTCTCCGTAAACTATCTTGACAGATGTGAAAGACTCAGGCACTTCTGTTGAGTGGCTGCTCTAATGGCCAACTTGCACTGAAGAGCAGAAAACACTTCCGACATACTCCATCTGGCCTATTTCACGGCCACCCAAACTTGACTGATGGTTGTTCAGGTTCCAGCCAACCAAAAAGTAAAAGAATGGGGTATTGTCAAGATTCAGGAAACATTTTGCTTTAACTGCTGAGAGAGGAGGAATTTATTTTTATCGAGCTGAGTTGCCTTAAAGACTTTATTTCTGTTCTCGCTCTTTCCATCACTCTAATTATTTCTCTTTCCTCATAATTCTTGTACTTTTAGCTATTTATTCTTCTGATTAAGATACAATTAAATAGAATAAGCAGTCTGCTTTTCTGCAAAGTACCCTTCATTTTTTTAATTTATGCTCATTTCTTACATCTTTTTCACCTGGCTGTATTTAGTTCTTTTTAATAAATGTCCCTTCCTGACTTTTTACCAATTTACGGTATACCTGAATCATGATTACTTTATCCTGTCTCAGTTCAGTCCTTGCCACAAAGGAAAACAATTCCAACGAAGGTTGGCAAACACTAACACTGCTTACACAACTGTTATCTTTGATAACTGGAGTGGCATCCAAAGATCACATCCACGAACGTGCAGCTTTGGAAAGGTTTTTCATGTGAAGGCAAGATTTCCCTGATTTTTTAGTGCCTGTAATCTCTTATTACACAGATCAGGTGTGGCATTTGAGGGTCTAAAAAGGTGTCAGTG